CAGGCCAACAGTTTCTGCAGGACTGGATGCAAGAAGCTATTAATTTCTGTTCAAAATACATGAAGTTGGAGAAAATAAAGACAAGGGCAGAGCAGAATCAGGGCCAAAGCCTTCCCTGGTCTTTACAGTGATCTAATCTGATTCAACTACAGACTGTTTGTTGTTACCTCTCAGCACACTGCCCCATACTCCTCTCAGGAATTCTGAACCTCAGCCTACCAGTTATGGCCATGTTGAAAACCTACATACGCTGTAAGGTTTCTTTTTTAAAATAAAAGCCAACTCACATATTTGAAAATCTGCTATCAGCACCTAAAATCACGATGTATAAAAGAAAAATGAATAAAGCTAAAAAGAGTACTATCTCATCCACCCTTCATGTGGATGAAGTTCTCTTTCATAACCCTTCATGTCTTTCTGCTCAGTACCCACAGGTCGTTCTGATTCTCACACCGATTACGTCAATACCAGCGTTATTTACTCCCAAGGAAGCTTGTGCAGCAAATTTCACTCAAAGATAGTTTTAAAACAAAGAAAAGTGTGTGTGTGTGGGGGGGCGGATATGAAAAACTCAACCATGAGGCCCCCTGTAACCACATCCCTGACTCATCTTTCCAAGAGAGGCAACAGTAAATAATCACGAAAAAATAAAAAAGACAAAACCAAGAGTAACAATGTAAACTGAGCAATATCCCTAAATGCAAAGTAAAGCAGGCACAGTTGAGTCCTTTCCAAGCTTCCCTTCCTTCTGCCCCTCAATCCAGTCATTAACTCAATAATGAGCGTCAGGAGCAGGTGGTTGGGCGGGGAGGGGGGTTGGCTATTTGGGACCAGCAGCGGTTGCGGACTGTCACAGAAGTGATGGACAAGCAGCAAGCCCTACTGCAGAGCCCAGGGAGCCACATTCAACAGCCTGCGACACGCACAATGGAAGAGAACGTGAAAAAGGAGCTGAGATACTGTGGTGTGCAGCTGAGACTAACACCGCACTGTGCATCAACCAGACTGCGACAAAGTGAGCTTGGAGAGAGGAGGACTCAATCACAAGTGTCTGCGGCACGCCAGACCCGCGCGCGTGCGGACGGACAGACCGCCGGGACAAACAAGAGGTGGCGACCTGCGGCTAGGTGGTTCTCCGCGGTGGGCAGCTCCGCCTCGGAGGCCAGTCCCGCGTTTTACAGGAAAAGAAGAGGCCAGAGCTTTGAAGAGAACTGACGAGGGCGTCTCGGGCATCAGGGGGAGACCAGCGACACTGACCACAGAGGCCCGTCCCGGAGCAGTGACACCACAGGCGGGCTCGCCTCAGCCGGGCCGGCCGGGTGGGCGGGGGTCCGCACGCAGGGCCGCACCGGGCATCAGACCCTCAGAGCGGGGACCCCAAGGTCACCACGGACAGGAGACCCCCGCCGCCCGCGCCCGCAGACCCCGCTCACCCCGCGCTCGCCGGGCCGGTCCAGGCGGCGGCCCTGGGGCTGCACGGTGAAGGCCGCGCCCACCGGGGACCAGCGGGTGCTGACCCGCCGCACGCGGAGCCCGGCCCGCAGGCCACCCAGCCTCCGGGCGCACAGCATCGCGCCGCGTCTCCTGGGCAGCGCCCGCGCCCCACGTGACCTCGCGCTTCCGGGAGGGCCGGGGCCGCGGGGCCAGAGCGTCGCCCGCCGACGTCCGCCGCCTGGAGCGCCCCCGCGCGCCGGGAGTGGGCACCGCAGGACGCGCCGCCCCGCCTCGGCGCGGGCCCTCACACTGGACCGAGACCCGTCGCCCCCTGTCGGCTTCCGCTCCGGGAAGGAGCGCTGCAGGTGCCCTGCCACCCCACGTGCGAGCCCTGCGGCCAGAGCTGTCGGCCGGCCTCGGTCCATTGACCGTGAACTCGCGGAGATCGACGACAAACCGACGGAGCAAGATCTGAGCCGGGAGGGCAGTGGCGGAGAGGGCGAGGGCTGGGGCCTGAGGGGTCTCTCCAGGTATCCGCGGGGGGCGGAGGCCGTGCAGGGATGGGAGCCTCACCTGGACGGCCCGCGAGGATGACCCTGCGCGAGGGCAGCCCAAGCCTGCTGCTGCGGCCTCGCCTGGGCTTGGCGCGGAACCGGATGCCCAGACCAGCTCCATCAGGCCCGAAGGATGCCTCGTGCCGAGGTTCAGGCCGAGGGGCGTCGTGTCTCACCTGAGTACGGTGGCGGTAGGTCCGCCCCTGCCAACGCCTGTGGGCTGTGAGCAGCCCCAGAACCTTCTCTGAAGTTCCAGAATCGAGGGCCTAGTTCCATCCTGACAACACCTTAGTCTTAAACGGAGTTTGGTTTTAATTTAGCCTGGTCGGGAGAAAAAGCCCTAGTGATCAAAATGATAAGATATTTAAAATTTACTTAAGGCAAGTGCCTGGGAGGGCCTGCACAAGTCTCTACAACTTAACTACAGATTCTGCATTTGTGTATATGTGGCAAAGCATGATTTCATTTTCTGCAGGCTTTTTAATGAAAGATTTCAAGCTATTTAAAATCCCCAAAGTCCTTACGCTATGGTGATTAATACTGTGACTGGGTTGGTCCTTGGGGTGACCACATCTCAGGTATGCATGGCAGGACTTACACACATGTCAAATGTGTCATGTAAAAAAAAGTATCAATAAATTTGACAAAAGTACTTACTTTATCATAATTTTTAAAAGGAGTTTCAAGTCTGAGAACCTTTTTTTGAGCCCAGAATGGTTTTTATACAAAGGTAACTAACCGTTTTAAATGCAAACACTGAGGCCTGCAAACACCCTCAGAGGATGATGACTTGTGCTGCATTCACAAAGTGTGTTGTGTCTCAGAAAACCTAGCGTAGTTAGACTTGTAAAAACTACAGAAATCCACAGCTGAAGCCCCAATACTTTGGCCACCTGATTCGAAGAGCTGACTCATTGGAAAAGACTCTGATGCTGGCAAAGACTGAGGGCAGGATTAGAAGGGGACGACAGGATGACATGGTTGGATGGCATCATCAACTCAATGGACATGAATCTGAGCAAACTCTGGGAGATAATGAAGGACAAGGAAGCCTGGCGCGATGCAGTCCATGGGGTCGTAACAACAAAATGGAAATGATTTCTGTATACTTCCAAAGTTTTCCAAAACCACCATGTAATTTTTCAATAGTTCATCTATAGCAGTGCTGCCTGCTTGTAATGATAATTCAGAAAATTCCCATTTTCCCAAGGAATGAAGACACTGTCACAACTATACTGGCTTGGTTGGCATGTGACAGGAGTGGCTGTAAGTCCCTCAGAGAACTAACAACGCCCCAGGCTAGGGTTTTGAAGGTGCTGTTGCTCAAATATGCACCAGGCTTATGCCCTCTTGCCTGTTGTGTGTGCTGTCATTTCAGTCCTGTCTGACTCTTTGCGACCCCATGGACTGTAGCCCACTAGGCTCCTCCATCCATGGGATTCTCCAGGCAAGAATACTGGAGAGGGTTGCCATGCCCTCCTCCAGGGGATCTTCCTGACCCAGGGATCAAACCGGACTCTCTTATGTCTCCTGCATTGGCAGGTGGGTTCTTTACCACTAATGCCACCTGGGAAGCACATTTCTTGCTTATTAGTTGCTCTCATCTAATAGAAAAATGCCTGGATTTAACGTAGGTATATTTAAACCTTTTAGAAGGGTACTGGGACCATGCATAATTATTTCAGTTCAACCACTGTTGCACGATCAGAGACAGGGTCACAAAAGGGCTGAAAACTCACCCAAGTCCAACTCCTCTGCTGTGGCTGAAACAACACCTTGATTCTTGGTCTTGGGTTGTTTCCACTATAATCCTGCCAGAGACCTTGGACCAGACCTTGGACCATAATCCTTGGATCAGAGACCACTTGAGATTCTTTCAGACAACAGCAGTAGTAACACAACCTGCCTCAAATTGGTTTAAGCAAACAGTTTGTTGACTCACACACTGAGACCGTCCAGGGGTACCTCTGCTTTCAGGACAGCTAGGCTTACAGGCCTAAACCTTGTCATCAGGACGGGTTTACCTCCAGCTCTGGCTTTGTTCTCAGGCTCTAAGGATTAGAAGACAGCTGCCACCTAAAGCTCAAGCTTCAGCTGAAAGAGACCTTTTCTGTTTTTCCACAAGTCTTTCGCATGGCAGATTGTGTCCGTTGGCTCTAGCTGGATTGAGCGCCATCTTGGACGTAGGCACCATGGACTGAGGAAGACAATGTTCTGACCTGCCAGGCCTGCACCTCATGTGCACCCCAGACCCCAGCGTCTACACTGCTGGAAAGACCAGGCCTGAGCGTGGATATCAGGATATGTTTACCAGCAGGAAGGGAAGTGGACAGTATCTGTCTGAACAGGAAACGTCCACTATGGCTTGGAGGGCTGGTTTCCCTTTTACCCACCATGCCCTAGAAGGCACATCACCACCCTCCACTTCCAACTCTCTGCCTGGTCTCCCTGTTCAGTAACTTTTCCTTCTGCTTCATTCCTTCAAAGATTTTAGAAGGTAAACAGTGAGGAAACTCTAATGGAATTTACCCTGATGGGTTTGGCTAAGCTGGGACCTGGGACCCTTCTTGTCTTTCCTGTTTCTCCCTTGTGGATGGGACCTGCTGGCCCGGGCCCTGTCCACTGCTGTATAAGATAACTTCTTATCTGCTTCCTCAAGTTCGCAGGTGAGAAGAATTTTGCCCCAGGGTGATTCATATAGTAGGTCTTGTGGCTCCTTCGAGCACTAAAACAGTATCAAAACGCTTCCCACAAGAAACACACAAGCAGAGGCTCTCCGGACTGTGGGAATGAGGAAAAATATTAAATAAACTGTAATAAACACGGCAGGTATTTTTACATTTACTTTTGGAGGGATACTGAGTTTTGTAGAATCAGTTTTAGGGAGAACGTTCCTCTTTTTACCTTTTTATGGTATGACAGTGATAACATAGTTAATAGCGTAAAATCATCAGATAACGTCTTCACCAGGCTAACCCCGGTGGATGGGGAAGATTGCCCTCCCCGCACCCGTCAGGAACTGCTGAAAAGCAGGAAGCCCGTGAATGTCGTGTCGTCGTCCTCGTCAGCGAACAAGCCGTTGAACCTCTCCCCTCCGGTCACCTGCAGCCACACCTCGTCCCCGAGCTTCAGGGGCAGGACGATGCCGCCCGAGGCCTGGTCCTCGGAGCCTGTGTAACCATCCTTGGTGTGCAGGACTTTGGCCCCGTTTTTGACCAGAGACACCTGGACGTTCCTGGAGAAGACCGTGACGTGGTAGGTGAAGTAATAGACGCCGGCCACGTGACAGGTGAACTTGCCCGTGGCCACGTCGTAGTGGCCAAACTCGTTGTACAGGATCCTGTCAAATTTGATGGGCGTGTCTGACGGAGGGAACTTGCTCAGCACCGTGAGCCCCACCGTGAAGGCGCTTTTGGGCAAGGCGGGCGTCTCGCCGATTTTCCCCTTTTCTCCTCGCTCCCCTTTCCAGCCTCTCAGGCCGCGGACTCCAGGCTCGCCCTGGGGCCCCAGGGGGCCAGCGTCTCCCTTGGGACCTGGCTTTCCAATGGGGCCCGTGGGCCCGGGCAGTCCGGTTGGGCCCGAAGGTCCGGTGTTGCCCTCAGGCCCCTCTGGACCCATGGGCCCCACGTCGCCCTTCTCCCCCTTCTGCCCGTGAGGGCCCGTCTCCCCCATGAGGCCCTTCTCCCCCGGGGGGCCCACGAGTCCCTTCGGCCCGTGCTTCCCTGGGGGTCCTCTTGAGCCCTGGTCACCTTTGACACCCTTCGCTTCCACATGTCCATCTGCACCTGAGAAGGAAGAGAGAGAACAGGGGAAGAGACAATTCGTGAAGCTCTGCCTTGTGAAGATATTCCTGAGAACATGAATGAAATAAAGCAGCAGCCAGGTTTAGTATGAGGTCAGTGTGTGAAAAAAAATTTTTTTTCTGTTTATTTTTATTGGTTGGAGGCTAATTACTTTACATCATTGCAGGGTGTGAAAATTAATTTACTCCTCAATCGTGCAGATACACACACACATGTGCACGTGTACTCAGGCGCACCCAGAACACTGCCTGACTCAGGTAACACCGACTAAATCAGCGTTGGGGCTCATGTTAAAATGACAGTTCTTCTTTGGGGTCTTCCCTGGCGGTCCAGTGGTTAAGACTCCCCGCGTCCACTGCAGGGGGCAAGGGTTCAATCCTTGGTCCCCTTGGTCGGGAGAACCAAGATCCTGCATGCCCCAGGGCATGGCCAGCCCAAAAAAGAAATGACAGCTTTCTGCCCATCCCCCAGGGAACTCCTGGAAAGTGGGAAAACCACAGAGAGCAGGTTCACCAGGCCGCCCGGGGAGGTGACTTGCAGCACTGATGACCTGATGCTCCGAGAAGCTCCTCACTTGAGCTCTGCTCTGGCAGGTGCATCGTGCTGTGCTGATTCCCCCTGTCCCCGTCCCCCCCCAGCCTGGCTGCCCCCTCTTCCCACACCGGAGCCCGACTGGGCAGCAGCGGTGTGAGCACAGCTCTGGAGTCAGACGCCAGGATCCAGCCGGCCTCCACCACTTCTACACAAGCTGATGCCCACCTGCATCGGTTCCTCACCTGTAACCTGGGATAATAAACTGCCTCCTGTATAGGCTGTTGTGTTGAGTCAGCACATGGAAGGCACTAGAACCACTTTGTGGCAAGGACGCTGTGATCACCACCCCCCACCCCCATCAGCACCCTCCCGCCTCCAGGGACCAGCTCAGGTGCCCCTTCTCCTGCAGGTCCACTGAGTCAGAATCCTGCGTCTTTCTCAGGGCCCAGCGCAAAATCAGGCTTCAGCAAACCACAGACCAAAGGCCACTTCTGCCCTCCACTTCCACCCTCCTGTTTTTTGAACAGCCCGCAAGCTAGGAATGGTGGGCATTTTTAAATGGTCACCAGTCATGTTCCGAGATTCATGACAATCATGTACAATTCAGGTTTCACGGGACACAGCCCCGCATGCTGAGGCCTCCCTGTCTCTGCTTTCCCCTACGACGGAAGAGCTGAGCAGTCATGACTGGGACACTGTGGCCCTTTACAGAAAGTCTGCCCATCTCTGCACTGAACTGCGAGCTTCTGGAGAGAACTGTGTGGCCTTTCCCATGGGTCACTCTCAGAGCCCTGTAAGGGACTTGTCCTTGGTTAGCACTTAACACTTCTCGCCACATCACTGACAACTCAGGATGAGGGCAGCTGAGTGGGAAGCTGTGTCTGACCTGGTTCTCCTTTGTCACCGGTCATCCCGTCCTTCCCAGGGCCACCAGGACGCCCTGGTTCTCCTGGCGAAAAGTGAGAAAACAGACAGGAGTTAAAATTCTAGCTCCAGTTTCCTGAGTGTGAGACAGCGATGGAGGATCCCAGGGAGCCCCAGCCTGACCCCCTCACACACGACACATGGCGGGGTATGAGCAAGGGCATTTGGGGCGAGCAGCAAGAGTGCTGAGTGGGCAGAGCAGCGGGCTGTGAAGTGGACGGGTGGGCCTCCCAGGCATACAGCTGACGATCATGGTCGTGTGTTTCTCACGTGACAAGGACTTGGGTGGGGGCGAGGGGGCTTTCTGTGGTCCTTTTCCATCACTTTCTGGGAAGTGGACTGGAAGGTCTACTAGCCTCCTAAGAAAGCACAGAGGACCATGTTCACACCACACTACTATGGATGGAAGAGTGGGTTCTGGAAGGACCTCTCCAGTGCCTTAGAGTGGTGGTCAACGTGCTGTGCAGACCACTGGGATGGGAGGCCATGAGGTTAGCACCACACTGGGTGATGTCTGCCAGACACCCAGCCATCAGAACTCTCCAGGCCCTGGTGCCAAAGACCCCTCATACCTGCCACCCGAGGCAAAAAGATCCATGACGTCACTTGCTCCTGAAAACGGCCCTGTGGTACCGGAGATGCTGGCAGGCAGACAGGCAGCCCCACCCAGTGGGAAGCCCTCGAGGACAGGGTCCTGATGGCCGGTGCTGCCCTGTACCCTACACCCAGCCTGGGTCTGGCCGGGGCAGGCTGTCTGTCAGTGTCTTCTAGGTGATGGAGAGAGATATGTATGGAAGGATGGAGAGGGGCGAGCGGGTAGGTGCTGAGTGCACAGGCGATGAATGAATGGAGGAGGCGAGAAGAAGCAGGGAGGAGCGGAGGGCAGCTGCAGGCGCAGGTGGTGGGTACCTGCATCCCCCTTGTCGCCCTTTGCCCCGTCTCGTCCATCTCTCCCAGGCAGTCCATTGTGACCAGGGTTCCCGGGGACGCCAGGGTGTCCCTGCTTGCAGGTGTCTTGTGAGCTCGCCATCCCCGTGCAGACTCCAGAGAGAAGCAGGAGCCACGAGATCCGCATGACTTGGGCGACAGGGCTGAACGGAAAGAGGGAGAGGCTTTCGTCACCGCGGCCAGGGACACAGCCTCTGCTCTGCGCAGTGGTCAGGCTTGGACAGAGGGGTCAGGACGGGTTAGGGTGGGAGCTGGGAGAAGACCAGCCACCCACAATAGAAGGACACAGCCTTGAAGGTATGTGGGAGGTCGGGGCAACTCTTCCTGGTGAGCAGTCAAGGAGAGAGCCACGTCCCAGGTCAGGAAACCCCCGCTGACCAAGTCCCTTTGGGCAGACACGCCAGTTGACTGTTTTGCTTTGGGCAAATCCCTTTTTGGAGCCAGAGAAGAGATGAATGCTTGCCTTTCGGGGCTGCTGCAAAAAACAAGATCACACTGTGTGTGAAACCATGTGTTGACTGGTGAAGCAAACATGGAATGAGCCTCTGCTTGGCATCCCCACTTCTGGGTGTACACAAAAGAGGTGACGCAGAGGCTCTCCCAGATATCTGTCTGCTCACATTCACAGCAGTGTGGTCCACAACCACCAAAAGTGGAAACATGCCACGTGTCCACTGACACATGAACAAAATGCGGTCCGTGCAGAGAGTGGACATGATTAGCCTTAAAAAGGAGAGAAACTCAGGCATGTTACAACAGTGATGAACCTTGAAGACACTGTGCTCGGTGAACTTAGCCAGTCATACATGGCAGACATTGTTTGGTTCCACTTATGGGAGGTACTGGGAGGAGTCAAGTTCAGAGACAGGAGAAAGGTTGGTTCTAGAACCACTGCAATAAAGTGGATATCACAAAAAAACTGAGTCACACAAATTTCTTGGCTTCCAGTGCATATAAAAGTTATGTTTACACTATGCTGGAGTCTATAAGTGTACATGGGTTAATTTTCAGTGAAAGTGAAAGGGTGAGTCGCTCAGGTATGTCTGACTCTTTGTGACCCCATGGACTGCAGCCCACCAGGCTCCTCTGTCCATGGGATTCTCCAGGCAAGAATACTGGAGTGGGTTGCATGCCCTTCTCCAGGGGGCCTTCCCAACCCAGACATCAAACCTGGGTCTCCTGCACTGCAGGCAGATTCTTTACCCTCTGAGCCAGCAGGGAAGCGCCCTCCCCACCAATTGCAGAAAAATGCTAAGCATCACCTGAGCCTTCAGCAAGTAGCAGTAGTAACATCATAGGTCACTGATCACAGATCATCATAACAACTAGTGATGAAGACATTTGAAATATTGTGAGAAGTACCAAAATGGGACACCAAACGAGCTGATGCTCAATGCAGGGTTGCCCCAAACCTTTAATGTGTTACAGAACGGGATATCTCTGAAGCACAATGAAACGGTGTGTGCCTGTGTATGCAGTAACAGAAATTAGAAGCAGATATATCCAAATGCACAGGGCTGCTTCAGAGTGGGGGGTTCCAAGAGCTTCTCTTTTTTTAAAAAGGCTTTTTTACAGTTTCTTAAAACTGTTTCTAGAGATACATCTTCTAAACCCAGCTAGACTGTGACACCAAGGATTATGTCGCCACCTGATGGAAGCCACTACGTGTCTCAGGGCCCAGGCTGATGCACAGAAAAGTATTTTTGGAAAAGGAAAGGTGGATGTTTCCCTCTAAAGTCACAAACTTACGCCCTTTCAGGAAATCAAGCTGAGTTTTCTCAGAGCCAGTTTCCATAAATAAACTACACCTTCCTCTTCTGTTTAACTCAGAAGTGGCTGGTTGCAATCAAATCTAAACTGCATACACCAGCCTCTGTAGGGGTCTATATTTCTCCCTTTTTTTTCAAAATGTGTGTTACAATTATTCCAATAGTAAAACAGATCGTGAGCTCATAAAATGTCAGGTTGGGATAAACTGCACTCTGCTCTCCGGCCAGAGAGGAGCTGAGATGAAAGCAAACGTGCACCCTTCCAGGAGTCTCTTCTGGGCTCTTACACACCTGACATGAGCAGAAGTGCCAGTTGTGAATAAAGGAACACCTTCGCCCCCCAGATGAGCAGCGAGAAAAGGGGCGGCACCATCTCTAAAGAAAAAAATGTTTAGCAGATGGAAGGAGGGTTTGCACAAGGCATAGAGGAGAAATCATATTCGTGAGTTATTTTCCAAAATAAAAAGTTACACAGGTGTTTCTCACAAAGCCTCAGGCTGGCTCCTCAGTTGCAAGGTTTAACTCCAGCGTCCCGTGTTTGTGTAGAAGGTGCTGGAGCTAGGACCCGCGGTGGCTTCCCTCCTCCACTTCCCCTCCCCCTCTCGTCTTCTCTGGCTCTCTCCCCCTTCCCCACCCATTCTCCACACAGCCCCTGGACCGGCATCACTTGCAGGTAACAGCATACTGAAGACAGCAGCTGCATCTTTACACTTTCTTATTTTCAGCATATCACAGTCCAGTATTTGTTGTGTGGTTGAATGAATGGATACTATCCTGGTTCTAACTATGTGCGAATTATCACAGGCAGGCAGCTGGATGTTGAATCTAATCCTTGTGGACACTTTCAGTGGAGGGTCTAGTCTCTCTAACGTCCCTGCTCCCCGTCGCCAATGGTGACAGAAATTCTAGCTAGCATGTGGCAGCCCATGACAGATTCATGATCCAGCTTCCTTGCAGCCTAGGTCCACCGTGAAACTAGCCTGTGGTTGCTAGGAAGTGGGTGAAACCAACACAGGCAGTGTGGAGACCACAACCTTCCTGGGAAGGGGTGCCCCCTCCCTCGTGAGCCATCGTGGACCCCTTGAAGGAGGGCAGCGCCCTGGGGACAAGAAATCCTGGTCTCTGATGACAGCACAGCCACCCTGCCCTCCCGGCCTGTTGGTGACATGGGCGAGACCTGCATGTTCTGCTCACTTGCCGGAGCCTGTGATGTGGGGTCTCTTACCCGCATCCAAGCCTACATCATAAGCGATGCAAGGCTTCCGCTGTCAAAGGAATGGGCGCCCATCCAAAGTGAGTAGGGCTTGACGCCTGTAGTTACTGAGCTCTGGGCTGCTAAGGACACACTGGATCGGAAACCCTTCAGGTGATACAATGAACCTCTGACAGCGGGGACGGCAGTGTATCGATACCGCCAGTGTGGACGCACGGAGAGTGGACACAGTCCTCCTGCTGAATGTCAAGTTCATGGGGGGAGGAGGGCCCCTGGGAGGCCCCCGTGAGCCCCTAACCCTAACATACGGAAACAGCTAGGGACAAAGGGTTACAGACTGCAAACGCTTTTGGAGTTCCTGTGTTTTAGACCCAAGTAAAATCGGTTCTTCTTGTTTCTGGATAGTTTCTCCTATGCTTGATCTGCATTCTCCTTCACTACTGAACTGCTTTACAAAAGGTCACTCAAGGCACACCCTGATTACTATTCTCCAAGGACATGATGTCCCTGGTCCACGGCCAAGGTTATGGGTTTCCACTTCTCAAGGTTCCTACTTCTCCAACTAGGAAGATTTAATGAAGATCGGCCAGAACCCGGTAGAGCAATCTTCCCTGGGTCTCCAAACCTCCAGCCTCTGAAGGCTGCATAGAACACAAGGGGTGCGTGAGCCCAGAGTCACCCCCGACATGACTGCCCAAGAATCTAAACCTCCAACCTGCCATCACTGAAGACATTTTCCTCACTTTCTCTATACTTTGTACACATGTATTTCTTCTTCAACACATGTTGAGGACCTTGTTTTAAACTATCCTGGGTAAGTTAGTACTGCCAGGAATCTAAGAATGTCCACATTAACATTTGTGTAAAATAATCCAAGCTTCTCTAGAAAGCTCCCTAGACAGGTCTCATGATTTATTCTAGGGTTTCACCCTCCTCCCAGATAGTCTGCAGAGTTCTAGCAGAAAGATTTCAAAATCTGCTTGTATCTCCTATGTAGCCTCTTCAGAGTGTATTTGGAACTGGCTTACTCCTTTCTCACCCCAAACTCTGCAGACATCTACCTACTTTGCAAAACGTGGGCTTCCCCGATGTCTCAGTGGGTAAAGAATCCACCTTCAATGCAGGAGACGTGGGTTCAATCCCTGGGTCGAGAAGATCCCTTGGAGAAGGAAATGGCAACCCACTCCAGTATTCTTGCCTGGAGAACTCCATGGACAGAGGAGCCTGACGGGCTGCAGTCCGTGGGGTCGCAAGAGTCGGACACAGCTGAGCGACTAAGCACACACATCACACACCAGTGATAACAGAGCTGCTCTCTGACTCCGACGCCTTAAATTGAATGCAAAGAAGTTGTGTCTTAAGGCACTTACCTGCACCCAGGGCTGCAGGCGGCACCCAGGGGCTCTGCAAACCAGGAATCAGAAGCAAACTAAATAAAATCATGCCTTCCTGCCAGGTAATTCCCTGGTGGCTAAATCTGCAAAACAGCAGGAAGGGGAGGGAACACGTGAGCATAAGACCTCTTGGAAGAACTTCAAAAACTGAGGCAATGCTCGAGTCCGCCATCATCCAACACCACCACTTAACTTCAGCCGATAGAGCTCCTTCTTTCCTCCTCTTTCACTGAGAGAAGGTGAGGTGGCTTCCGGGTGGGCCTGGAGGGAGGCGTCCCCAGAAGCCTCCTCCCCTTAGAGAGACCTTTGTGCCTTTGCTTTCTTTGTGCGGCTCTGAGCCGACCTTGGGTCAATCATGAGCCAACAGAACTGAAACAAAGATGGTACCATTAGGCCTCCTTCAGACCCTGGACGCTTCGACGCGACATCGCTTATCTCAGTCTCCCCGCCTCCATGTAGTTCTTGTCAGTGTGGGCGCTTGTGTGCCTAAGACTTTAACGCCTGTCCTCGTCACAACACACGGGCTTTCCTGGTGGCTCAGCAGTAAAGACTCAGCCTGCAATGCGGGAGACCTGGGTTCGATCCCTGGGTCAGGAAGATTCCCCTGGAGGAGGGCATGGCAACTCACTCCAGTATTCTCGCCTGGAAAATCCCATGGACAGAGGAGCCTGGCTGGCTACAGTCCATGGGGTCACAGGGTCAGACATGACTAACACTTCTTCACCACACATGTGCACATGTGCACACATGCACACAGAACTAAGAACATGCATGCGTGCATGCTAAGTCGCTTCAGTGTTAACCCTATGGGCTGTAGCCCACCAGACTCCTCTGTCTATGGGAAGCCCCAAGAACAACATGGTGTAACCTTTTTTCCAATCCCATATAATCAGATTCCTCTCTTTTCCCATCAGTCTATGAACGTTGATTTCTGACTTAAAAATAACATCAAGAGAACAAATGCCCCAATGCTCTTTCTCAGAGAACAGCTCTGAGGGCTCCCCTTTGGGGTCTGCTGGGGCCCTGCCTCCTGCCCCAACCCCCCAGGAAATGGGCAGTCCCTGAAGTTCTCCCAGAACCCAGACATTTGCTCCCATGTCACAGGACACGCGCTGCATTCTAGTGATGCTCTGAGTGCTTGTCTCCGGACCACATGCCCCACTGGACAAGCACCCGTCTTGCTGCCTCTCTGGTGTCCAGTGGGTGGGTGGGTGACTCACCTGGACCCCTCTGAGGACAGCCCTGTCCCCCAGCCTGCTCCTCCCCCCATGGGTGCCCTCCTGTGTCATTGGCACCACCCTCTGAATCCACACCCTCAGCCCATGAGCTTAAGCCCTGCTTTTCAGCCTAGCCAAAGGAAGTGGGGCAGGTGGTTGTTCAGATAGAGTCAGCGGCAGCCTCTGTGAGGACCCCTTCCTGGTGACCACCACAGCAACAGTGAGTCTTTGCTGACTTTCCCGAGCTGTGAGTTAGGGAGCGAAATTCCCTCATTTCCCCACCCCACTGGCCTGGCTCAGTGAACATGGCTGGCTAAGCCCCTCCGGGGAAGAGCCAGAAGCTGCCTCCTGCCCCTGGGAACCAGAACAGGCCTCCTCACTCAGGTTTTGGCTTCTCTAGTCTCTTTCCAACGTTTGGGGGCTCTTCTCCTAGCCGAGTGGCTCCTCTGTTCTCTCGGAGACCTCTCTCTCCCACACTCACCCAGCCGTCTGACCAAGTCATTAATGGTGACTTTTTGCTGAAAAGAAATCTACTGGCATCCAGACAGGGAATGAGTTGTAAATCCCAGAAAGCTTCCTAGATACTTACTCTCCACTTAAAATATGCTACACACACATACACACTCATACACACATACACACACACACTCACCCCCACACAACACACACACGCACACACCGACCCCATACACTAAACACACCCAAACACTACACACCCACTCATACACTCACACTACATACACACTCATACACTACACACACATGCATACACACTCACACTACACACCACCCACACCTCCCACACACGTACCTACACACTACACACACACACTCTACACACCCACATACACTCACCTATACACCATACATACATATGTAATACACCCACAACCCACACACACACCAGGAAACACACACACACTCAAGTGCATTACTACAGTTTGACAAATTAACTTTAATATACAGATACAAAACAACAAATATAGATTCACAGCATTTACAAGAAATCATTCAAATAACATTGTAAATAAAATTTTTTTTACAAAAACTTCAGAGAAAGTACATACTTGTCGTACAAGCAATCTTATACAACACGTCAGCTGACAACAGCTATGTCATCAGTTGGGAAGCTGTCACTTGACCTCGACAGATAATACTGTCTTGATGTTGACGAGTCAGAATTGAAGGAACAGGGCCTGGAAAGCCTTGAAAAGTAAGTAAGTCAAACATGACGGATGCTGACATTTACAAAAAAAAAATTGACCAATTGTTAAATCACAGTTACAGTATCTTCTAAATTCGTGCCACATATCTAATAAACAACAAAGAAGGTAATGTTAAGTTTGTTGTCACTATATGTATGTCCAGTGTTTAAGTTCCAGGTTTTTTCCGAGATCAGATGTTTTCTATATGTTATTTTCAGAGTCTCTTGGATTCCACCTTTGTTGCATACATCCTGAGAACAGCATTAGCCAGGTGACATTTTAACAGGAAGACAATTTGTAGGTTAAAATTGTTATGGGGACAACTTTAGGGCAGTCTGAGCTTGTCGTGTGCCCAGCATCCCTGGCCAGCAAGTCACGTTGATCCACACTTGTTGGCACTCAATGGTGAGGGACACGTTTGTTTCTCTTCTCCCAGACAAACATTACACACTCCGGTTTCTTCCCTGGTTCAGGTGGTTGGGCTGCTGTGTCCCAGCTGGGTAACCGAGTTGATCTGCGTCAAGAACCAGCAGTCTGGGCTTGTAGAGATTCCCAACTGATAAAGTGCTGGTTTGTGGCTTCGACCGAACATTTCTGTTGTGAAAGAGGTTTTGGATTAAATGCACTTTTGCTGTGTCTAGACAGCAGCGGTGTAGGATCTGAGAGATTTTCTGAACAGGCATGGAGCTCAGCCTCTGTAGTATGAATAAAAAGGCACAGCAATATCCAGAAATGGGGTGGGGGTGGGCAGATGGGGGATGATGACGGAGATGTTTCCAACATCAGGTCCGTTGGATGGGGAGGAGGGCGAAGATCAGATCAACTGAGAACACATGAGTCCCAAGAAGAGGCTGGCAAATCACACCCGCTTCTTCCAGTTTGCAAGCCAAAGACAAGGATGCTACTTCTCCAGGGCTTTAGAAATATCCTGCTTTATGATAGCTCACAACCTATTGCAAGACTGTTCTACATTTTAGGCTTCATCAAAACTGAGAATGCTGCTTTGGACCTGAGGCCATTTCCCAGGCCTTTCAACAAAGTTAGCAGAGACTTTTAACATGAGTAACAGAGTAAGTGAAATTTATCACATTATTCTATCTTTCTGGCAGGCAGGTCCACCCATATTATGCAGTGTAGGGTTAAAAAGAAAAAAAAGGCAGGACAGAGGGAGTGAGATTTCCAGAGAAGTCCATACACAATCTGGACAGGAGGCTGTTTGTTTGACTCCCTTTCTCTCCAAGTGGGACACGCAAGGAATCAAGAAGGAAGTTTGGCAAATGTGAAAACAGTACCCTGGCCCATCTATTCTGCAGGCATCTGCTAATAAATCCAAGGCAGACACACAGATTTAAAGAGGTCAAAGGATGCTACATCCTTTGAAACGTATTTTAGTGATTTTTCAGATCACCTGGAAACCCCAGCAGGAGTCATCTAAGATGGACATCTGACCAAGTGACCGCTTGTATGGAGAGACGAGGGGGTGGGGGTGGGCAGCCTGGGGCACTCATGGCTCCTTCATCGGGAAGCCCCAGGGGAAAGAAGAGAGGGGAGCAGGGAGTCAGGGATCAGACAGGAGACGACCAGGGCTGCCGACAGCACCTCCAACCCTTGGTCCCCATGCTCTGGGGGTGGGGGAGCTGGGGGAACTGGGGGAAGTCAGGGGAGACGAGGGCCCGCTGGGTGCTTCTGCAGTGGAGCCAAGTCCTCACTGGAAATGTAACATGAGCAACTGAATTCGCCTTACTTCCTCAAAGTAATTCTCTTTTATTAAAAAAACAACCAACCAACCAAGCAACCCAACCGTCCACAACTGTCATATACACACACAACTCTGTTTAACACAGAGTGCATGGTTTCTGCTGGGGGGCCCCACGAGAAGAATATATCATTATGCCTTGTTAGTAAAAAAAGGTCAGTTATATAAATGCACCTAGAATGGAGACGTCTATTCGAAAACACACGCACACACGAGAGCCACAGCACCTCCTGGGAAGCCCCCTCACAGAAGGGGCCTTCATCCGGGATCCGGGGCCCGAGGTGCCCAGAGGGAGCACCTCCCTGGGGGGCGGCTCTGGGACCACACCTGGAGGCTCAGGTGTCCCCTGTGAGGACAGCACAGGTGTGTTGATGCTCAAGCAGGGGCCTGGTAGAAAAGAGGGACTTCCGTGCTTTCAACATCACAGAGAGATTCTCAAGCAGACAACGTCAGGGCCTGACTGGACCCCCGCCTGCTGCGCGAGGACGGGCGGCTCTCCTACCGGCACCTTTACAAGTATTTGCATCAACATTTACGACGAGACAGAGGCAGGGGGGTGACCGCCGACAGGTGTCAGCCGCGTGGACCTCGCTGGAGAAGACTGCTCTCTCTGGACCTGGATCTGTTTTGTCAGGTCCCTTTCATAAGAAACACATCTTCAGAAACCTGTCGACGTGTGCATCACCACACAGCTGGCACTACTGCTGGGGTACATGTGACAAATGGAGGAACGTGCAGGAAGTGGGACCCTGGAATGCCCTGCATTCGCAGCAGCAGAAGGTCCATCTGTGTCACTGTTGCTGGATCAGGAAGGACAGACAGACAGGCACCGGGTGCTTTCTGAGCTGCTGTGCCTGCACGTTCACTTTATGGTCAAACTAAGGGGAACAGGGTTTCTGTTGCAAACGCATGTGTGAGTAGGTTCGTGAGTGCCGCCCAGGGGGTGGCACGCGGGCGAGGACCTGTGTACACAGGGAGCAGCAGGTCCCCCTCCCTGAAAGCCTCCGTGTCTCTGGGGCGCACTGGTCTGTGCACTTCGAACCCTGGACCCCATGCAGACGCCGCCCTGATCTCCCTACCACCAGACATGGATTCGGAAGACGCCAGGGCACCCTTGGGACCCCTGCGGGGCTGCAGCACCCCTCCCCCACACAGAGGAGAGGGACAGCCCCTGCACTGCCCGCCCCTTCAGGACGGAAGGCCAGTGACCCAACCCTCCTCCTCCTGCTCCTCCAGGAGCACAGCGTCCTCGGCCCCGCCCCGAGCCCGGACCAGCTCGTCATCAGCGATGCTCCCGGGGCCCCACCCAGCATCACTTCGGAGCCTGAGGGGGCAGCCGGGCCTCTGCTTCCCCAGGCGGGGCCAGGTCCTGTTCTCGGCCGGAGCGGGCCCGGGAGGCCTCTCAGCACCGGGTCCCTGGGCCGCTGCCCGCCCCCCCCCTTCACTTCCTGAAGGGGGCGAGCTTGTTGAAGGTGTGCCAGAAGAGCGACGGCTTCCTCTTGGGTTCGGCCAGGGCGAACACCTGCTGCTGCGGCAGGCTGCTGGGCACGGTGACGTGGCGCTGGTGGACCGGCCGCAGGCTCTGGAGCGGGGGCGCCGCGGGGCAGCCGCCGTAGCCTGGGGCGGGGGTGCAGAGGGAAAGCCACTCAGGTCACAGGTCAGCCCAAAGCGAAGAGCTGCCCCGCGTCCCCTGGCCGACCTGCAGTCCCATTTCCCAGGAGGACCCCAATGGCCGTCCAACAAACCCACTCAGATGCTGCGTGCTGGACACAGATGGCCTCCCCCCGAGGCCTCACCTAAACCCCGTCCCCGGACCGCCCCGAGAGGCCCCGAGGCCGGGAAGGAGCCGGAAGCCGGGAAGGAGCCGGAAGCCCGGCACTGGCGGGGCAGGAAGTGGACGCGGCGTTGGGGGGAGCAGCGGTGAGACGCGCTCGGTGAGAGCCCGGCGTCGTCCGCTCACCGCCAGCTGGAGGCGTTACTGGGTTTCTCTGAGCCTCGGTTTTCCAGTCTCGGAGACGGGGGGGTACAGTGCTCACCGGGGGGGTTATGAGAGTTGGGTGAACGCAAGTAATGTGCTTAGAATCGCACCGATGGCTCATCAAAATAACTAGAACTGTTTCTCTAGAGCCGGCATTTTAAACCTGCGCACCGGTGGTTGGAAGTGAAGTGAGGTCAAAGTGGCTCAGTCGTGTCCGACTCTTTGAGACCCCATGGACGATACAGTCCGTGGAATTCTCCAGGCCAGAATAGTGGAGTGGGTAGACGTTCCCTTCTCCAGGGGATCTTCCCAACCCAGGTCGCCCACACTGCAGGCGGATTCTTTACCAGCTGAGCCACAAGGGAAGCCCACTGGGAAGCCACAAAGGAAGAACACTGGAGTGGGTAGCCTATTCCTTCTCCGGCGGATCTTCCCCACCCAGGAATCTAATTGGGGTCTCCTGTGTTGCAGGCAGATTGTTTACCAACTGAACTGAGGTGTAATAAATCAGCTACAGGACCACAAGCTGACTGTGATGGTCAGCAGGAGAGGGCAGAACAGGGGTTCTGGAAGATGGGCTCTGTTCACAGGCCTCCCTTGTCCCCTGGCAAGAGAGAGGACAGCAGGAGGGAACTCAGGGAAGGGGCGACCCCGGAAACCTTAGGGCTCCTCCCAGCTGGCCACCCTGTGGAGAATCCCTCTCTTGCCACCCATGCCTCCACAGGCTCAGGGGGCAGAGGTGGGGGCCTATAAGCCCCACCGCCCCAAGTTAAACCATCTTACAGACGCCTCTGCAGATAGGAGCATGCACTGAAGTCCGTTCAGAACCAAATGCAGGTGGTTTTAAACCATCCGTTGCTTTGATACATCATTCTTTTTAACTCACACTTGTCTCCCACTCAGTGGGTCACACACACAACCTCAGGCATTTCTCCCCATTTTAATTCCAACACTGACACACACACTCTGAAACTCACCTTTTGACTTTCCGTGTGCTGCCTTTTGAGCATTTAACATGGCGAGTTTCTTCTGATTTTCCGAAATTTCCATTCCTGGATTTAGACACAAATGTGGTATGTATTCAAGACTCATGAAAACATTTCAGGATAAAACTTGCACCAAAACCCATGTTAACCCTGAGGTCCTCTCTACAACCAAAGCAGAGAGCCTCAACTGTTGAGGAGGCAGAAGGGGCCGAAGAGGGCGGACAAGGAGGAGGGCTATCACCTGGATGGCCACACCACCATTTCCCACGCCGGGACCCCATGCAGAGCGACCACTTGTGTAAACCCAGATGGACAGACACACAGGGCCTCCCTCACTGTCCCCCCACAAGGAGGGTGCTGGGGGAGGCCAGACCACAGGCCCTGTGAAAGCTTGGCTTCATCCCAAGCAGAGGTGACGTCTGAGCCAGGGGTGCTGGTTCCTGCACCCTGATTGCACATCACGTGGACAAGGGCCAAGGGCAAGACTGAGTGGGGCCGGGTGGCTGTGCTGTTCTGGGCAGGCCCTCCACCCTGAAGCCAGAGACCTGAGCTCTGCCTGTGCAGCTGGCCAGCCTGGACCCACTGCCAGGACCCCCTCTACCTTGTGCAAAGGTAGAGTGTCCTGGGCCTTGGTCCCTCAGCATACCTGACTCCCGTCCTGACAGGCCCTAGGGTCCCCTCCAGGCTCTGGACCCCAGGCCCGCCCGGCCCTTCACCTCCTTCCCGCTCTCCACGCCTGCCTGGTTCATGGCGCCAGGATGCATCCAAGCAGGAGACACCGGGCACATGCAACTGGCCAGGCAAGGTCGGGGTACCTATCTTACCCCACACACGCTTGGGCCACAGGACTGCCGGCCCCTGGGGGACACATGCGTTCTTCCCCCTCATCTGCTCGTCCACCCATCCCTGTCCCCCAAGCCCCAGCTACAGGAAGCATGGCTGTGCCAAGAGGGGTACGATAAGGCCCGTCCAGGGCAGAGCTGAGAAGCGGTCACTGCTCTGCCTGACTGGTGAGACCTGGGAGGCCTCCCATGGGTGAGAGTCTCCACGGTGGACTCGTGTGAGTCAGGGGAGACTGCTGAAGCCCCTCCTGGTTTCCAGGCAAGCTCCCCTCATGGCAGAACAGACTGCAGCCCCTGAGGTCTGGGACTCCGTGGGCTGCAGACACCTCCCTTCACCCCACCGTCTCTGGGGCTCAGGCCCTGTCTCCATGTGGCCATCTGTGCTCAGACCCTGGCCATGCCCAGGGGTGGCTCTAAGGCTGGGCTTGGAGACCTGGGTGTAGCGGGGTGGGACGTCGTAAATACCAGGCCTGGCAGCTCCAGCCTGGGGGAGTGGGAGCGGAAAGACAGGAGGGGGCTGGGCAGGAAGCAGGGCTGCCCTAGCGGCCCTGAGCTCTGGGGCAGGGAGGGGGCTGCTGGGCCCAGACGGACGGGGCAGCAAGGTGGATGCACGGTGTGTGATGTGTGGAGCAGAGCTGGAGAGCAGACGTCAGGCTTCCTGTGCCTCTCCTGGTCTGGGGCGGGGGGGAAGTTACAGGCTTGGGGGGAGTGTTAAACTCTACCGGCCATGCTCTAAGCTAAGAGCAGGCAGGGCCCTGGGCCTCAATTTCCTCATCTGTGAAATGGGGACAACCACTGGACCCACAGCACCTTGCCTGGTCAGTCTTGTCAGCAAGTTCGGGAACACGAGGACCTGCAGGTGGTTCCCCAGCCTCCTCCCCGTGGGGGTGAGCGGGGCCCCAGGCTCACCCAGCGCCCGGTCCTCCTGTACCCGCCGGCGCTCGTCCCTGAAGGCCTGCAGCCACCGCGCCTTGTCCTCGGGCTTCCTGGCGCAGAACAGGTGCACCTCGTCGCCCGTCGGGCTGACCAGCCTGAAGGCGTTCTTGAGGCCCGGCCCGCGGGCGCCGTCGCGGCCGTCCTCCAGGTCCACCAGCTCCACGGCGTCCGTGTCGGCGCGGCCGCGGTAGTAGAGCACATCCCTGCGCAGCAGGTCCTTCTTACAGAACACCAGCTGGTGGTCGAACAGGAAGAAGGTGCGCTGCTGGCTCTTGCCCTGCCGTGTGACACTGGTCAGCTCCCCAGAGTGGATCAGCTCCGAGCTGCGCTCCAGGAGGTCCTGGCCCTGCAGGCAGGGATGCAAGCATGTCTGAGGTCGCCCGAGGGAAGGTCTCCTCCAGGTGCCGGGGGTACAGGGGGGCCCTGGCATGAACCCTCTGCAGGCGGCCAGGTACATGGGGCCCACGTGTGGGGCAGGCCCACAAAGGCCGGTCAGACCTCGCTGACAGCCTCCTCAGGTGGGGAATTTCTTATCTTTCAGACTCCATGAGAAAATGTGAGCGAGCCCGTGTACCACCTAAGGGGTCCCCTCTATCAGAGAGACCTGGTGAAAAACACTGGGTGGAGGGACCCCACTGGGAGCCAAAAGGGTGGCAGGCCTGGACGGACCCTGAGAGTGCGGGGGACCCCTGCGGCTGGGCGCTTAAGCTGCAGGGAGGGGGCTTCTGAGTCAGGCAGCAGCTCCCCGCACAACCAGCTCAGGGCCTCGGAGACAAAAGGCCAGATGGCACGATGCCAGCAAGAAACTGGTAAGCTTCTGACAACAAACCGTCCCTGAGACATCAGAGTGCAAGGGCAGGAGGAAAAACATACTTCTGTGGTATTTAGTTTGGATCTAACCCAACATAACTTTATGCTATTCGCTATGATACTGGCCTTTAACATTTTATTCTCCCTTGATCCCAGTTATACACAGTATTTTTGGAGGCAAAGGATCCTGACTGTGAAATACTAGCCTGCAGGGATTCTGTGCCCCAGCTTCCTCACTCATGGAACAGGAGGCTGAGACCCAGGGACTGTGAGCACCTTGAAATACTGTTTCTCTCCAGCGCTCACTGCTGTCACCCACTTTAGTTCAAAAAGTTCCACTTCCTCACTGCTTGGGGAGAGGGAGTTCTGACAGCTGATTAGAGGTGGGTCGCCCCCTGCTGGATCTCATAGCCATCTGCACGTCATGGGCTTGTCCTTGGTGATGGCCAGGTGCCCATTCTGCTCCCTCACCTTTCTGTGCCTCGGTTTCCCCGTCTGTTAAATGGGCTAATAATAGTTCCTACTCCCCAGGATTGCTGAGAGGATTAAATGAGTTCATATATTTAAAGGGCTTATACCAGAGCCAGGCATGTGTGAATCCAGTACAAGTCCAAGCTCTAGCTGCTGTCACTGTCGTTTTTATAAATAAAAGCATGCGTGTGCGTGTGTGTGTGTGTGTGTGTGTGCACGCTGGACCACCACTCAGGCTGTGTCACTGCTACACTGCACCGCCTCACACGGTCCTCGCCAGCCCTGCAGGTAACACCTATCCTGCCTGCCCCCTACCTTACAGACGGAACATCCTTCTCACCCAGATCACAGGGGACACGCACTCCCACCTCCACACAACCTGCTGCTCTAGGAGCGCTCTCCAGCCGTCCTCATGGAGCCCACCATCAGGCAGGAGGGAAAAAGGGTATACCCAATAAACTGATTATTGGGTACTCTGAAGACACTCTTCAGAGTACTTCCCAGTGGAGGTGAAGGGTCAAGCATTTGACTGCTAACTTCAACAGCGTGAATCAAAACATCACACCATGGAAGCCAAGAGCAGAGGGAACCTATCACAGGTTGTAAAGCGTGTCATCCCACCAGGGGACCACAAGTTGGGGGTGGAGGGGGGTTCGGTGCTGAGGGTGGCGGGCTCCAACGTACCTCCCAGCCCACGATGGACACCTGCCAGCGCGCGATCTTGTCTATGCTTTCCAGCTTGCGTTTCCGCTCATTGATCAGGCAGGCGACGTTCTTCATGGCCTCGTACGCTGCCTTTATATTGTCGTAATCACTGCAATGTAAGGGGTTAATTTTAACCATGTAACAGGCGACGGGCAAAGGAGGACACATGAAGCAACACACTCTACCCCTGATTGTACACTGACAGCCTAGACAAGATGGCCTCTAAACAACAGCCGTTGTTCCTCCGTGAGTAGGCTACAGTCCGCGTAGGCTAAGGGGGCCGATCAAATGCCAGCAGAATTTTCTGGAATAAGAATGTCATCAGTCGTTTCCCAGAAACCACAGTGAATGAAAGCAGAGGCCACAAGAAACAAAGTTTTAGTCACAGTGACGAGGGGTGATTTTCATTAACAAAGACAGGACAGGCCTCTGTTTTGGCTCTGGTCCACACAGAGCTAGTTTTCCCTGTAGAGTTCTGTGACGGTCACCACTCATTCCAGGAGTCCTGATTGGCTGAGCCTCGTCTTACATGGGAGGACATGAGTGAGTTGTGTAAATGCTGACCGGCATTTCCTGTGTCCAAGCACCTTCATTTCTGGTGCTTTCCACACAGCGCAGTCAAACCAAACCGCTATGTCCCCCTGCCCAGCAACCCCTCAGACCCTGGAGACACCAGGAAAACAGAGGCTCTGATCTGCACACAGGCTGCAGGAGAGCCTGCCTGGGGCCAGAAGGGTTTACATGCAGGTCTTGTTCTGCATTAACACTTTCAGTTCAGTTCAGTCACTCAGTCCTGTCCAACTCTTTGTGACCCCATGGACTGCAGCACACCAGGCCTCCCTGTCCATCACTAACAGTTTGGGGATGTGGAAAGCAGTCGCCCGGCTAAGAGCTAAGTCTTTTCCCCCAGCACTTTCCTGTGTCTTCCAGGACAGACACAGCCCCAGGGTCTCGGGTGGACTAGACTGCAGTCCTTCACAGCTAGGGACAAGCCGTGGGAGCAGACTCTGCTGTTTACCAAACACTCCCACCCCACTGAAGCTCCAATACTTTGATCACCCGATGCAAAGAGCCGACTCACTGGAAAAGACCCTGATGCTGGGAAAGACTGAAAGCAAAAGGAGAAGGGGGTGGCAGAGAATGAGGTGGTTGGATGGCATCACCGACAATGGACAAGAATTTAAGAAACTCCTGAGGATAGTGGAGGACAGAGGAACCTGGTGTGCTGCAGTTCCTCTGTTCACAGAGTCAGACATGACTTAGCAAATGAACAACAACCCCACCCGCATCTCTAGGCAGATCAGACCCCACTGTCTTCAGACAGAAGCAGAGCAAAAAAGAAGAACCAAGTGGCACACGGGAGTTGCCAAAATAACGGGAGCAAACCCCCCAGAGAGGGCTCCAGCAATAAGGAAGGTGTGCAAAATTACTGTTTTTCTACAAATTTTTCTGTACAATTCCAGAAAAGAGGCAGAATGTAATGGTCTTTTAAAATATTTGGGTTTGTTTTAGTTCAGATGAGGAAATGGCTTTTTGTCATTTCCTTTAAAATGATTTTTTTTTTGGGTGAAACAAAGTATGCAAATGCTTCATAGTGAAAAATGCCCTTAAAAGAGAAAAATTAGTGCTGAAGGGTGATGAGTGCACCCCTGGTATAGCTTTCCCATCTTTCAAGATGTTCTGCTTCCTAAGTTGCATTTTTATTTTTTCTGGTTCCTCATCATGATGTCTTTTTATTTTCTTCAAAAAGATTTCTTCTAATTTGTGACTTGCCTGACTTTGTTATCTTTTTTTTATTAAAGTTTTCTGATTTTCCCATCAGAAAAAGAAAAAAAAAAAATCACAGCTTCTTTTTAATTTTTTTCAACAAACTCCTTCCTCTTAGTCCTTTCATCTTGATTCTTTAAACTAACATCATTGTCTGGGCATGTCGATAAGTGACCCTGCTCTCCCCTTCTACCTTCCATCTAATTGTGAAAAGCCCCCTTTCCCAGGCCTGTCTCTCCACAGGAGTCCAGTGGCCGAGGACAGAAGAATGAACCGTCCCCTGCAACACACAGGGCGGGCGCTGCCTGGAGAATCTGACTGCTCTCAAGGCAACAGACAGATGTTAAGCCGAATTGGTGGTCTGCTGCAGCAAATTCCCCTAGGCACTGTCCTCTCCTGGCTCCCTCTTCCCAATGGACCCCTGTCCTTCCGAGGGCTGCAGGCAGAGGCAAAGCCTTGTGTTGCAACACAGATGTCAGGGACAAGGTTTGGTTTTCCTAAAGACAGAAGCGTTATCCTAAAGTACTGCTGGGTGACAGCCGTGTCCCCGCTGGCCCTCAGCTGTAGGCTGCTGAAAACTCATGGAGGGATCACTGCTGTCAGCAAACAGCGCCAAGCAGCCAGGCCTGTGGGGGAGACCCTCACCCATGTCCCAGAGCTGACCAAATAGGTGACAGCTGACATTCAATCACAGTAAAATCAGACATGGTTCTGTACACGCAGGAAAACGACAAGCTGCTATTCATAAGCAAAGGATAATTTGGGGGGTTCTTTCGGGAGAATTCACAAATAAGCCCCAAAGGGAGGTGGAGCGTTCAGTAACCACAACCAGAAGCCCTGTGCTCAGAGCCAGAGGGACAGGGTGGGCAGGCTGGTTACGGAGCAAGCAAGCACTGGACCAGAACCGGGTGGGAGCCCAGCCGGACCTCAGGAAACCATGGCCCCTACTCAACACGCCCTGGAAACTGCCTGCTCCTTCAGGGGTCCTGTGTGTCCTCCCCCTCTATAACGGGACTCTGATTCCACTAGGCAATACAGTATGACGCAGGCGGCCCTCCACGTCCGAGTTTCTGCCCCCCACCTGTGCTCTGGCGCGGTGTACTTGAGCAGCTCGGCCAGCTGCAGCGGGTACTTGCAGATCTTCTGCACGGGCGTCAGCAGGAAGCCGTCCAGCGCGATGTCGATCATCTGCTGGAGCAACCGGCAGGCCTCGAAGAAGTGGCGGTAGCGGCGCTGCTGCATCAGGCCCGCCAGCTCCGCGCAGGCGCCCGGGTGGTTGTTGCAGTACTCCGAGTAGATGGCGAAGCCCTCTTGCTGGGGAGGGCGTGGAGCCATGTCAGCTCAGGAGCTCCGGGCCCCGCGAGCGCTGAATACACCAGTCCCCCGACCCCCATCCCGCACAGGGGCGCCTGTAGCACAGACTCCTCCCTGTGGGAAGCGGTGGAGGGGAGGCTGCGGAGGACACAGCATCTCCCCTTCCCCCAAACCGGCCCCTTCCAAGGACCCCCAGAGGGGTCTCCCTGGGGGCCGGCGCCCTCCGTGTCACCCGGGACAAGGGGGAGGTGTCGGTTTCTGCCCTGGCTGCCTCCTGCCCCCTCCTCTCCCGGGCAGGGGGGTTTCTTCCGGTGACCAGGGGGATGCAGAGCCCTGCCTCGGGGTCACAGGCCTCCTTCCTGGGCTGCCCCTGCTGTCCGTGTGCCTACCTCCTCCCCGCTGCCCTGCAACCCGGACTCCCTGGGGGCCCCTCCTAGCCACCTCCGAGAAATTACTCCACTAACTCCAAACCCCAGAGAAGTGAGGAGACTTGAAAAAAATATAGACCTGGGGTATTTAGGTCAAGATGAACCATATAAACTAATTAACTTAATTTGCAAGTGACACCTCCATCCTATGAGAAGTTAATCAAACAAAGAAATAAAACAGAAAGGGACCCCTCTTCTTCGCAAAGAAACATTTCTAAATTACTTAACTGGATGTGACATTATTAATAAGTAAAAGGTGACGTACGTGCTGAAGGAAGCAGGACCCTATTTCACTCAGATGAGGTTCCTCTTTATTGTACTGCTTCTCAAGGTCTTTCAAGAACTTTCTTTGAAATCTGTAAATGTCTTCAATGTTTCCGAAAATGGTGGCCAGTTGTGCAACCGAGAACATCGCTGTGTGCTTGCGACACTGTCTGATGTAGCCCTACAACACAGGAAAGCAAACTCTTTTCTATGAATCTAGGAATTCAAAGAAATTATTTCAACAATACTGCTTTTGGGGGCCCAGAGCCATGGTCTTAGAGTGGGCTTTAAAAGAAAAAAAAAACATATATATATACACACACACACACACAATTTTATTTTTTATTTTTGGCTGTGCTGGGTCTTTGTTGCTGCACAAGCTTTTCTCTAGTTGCGGCGAGTGGGAGCTACTCTCGAGTCGTGGCGTGCAGGCTTCTTATTGCAGTGGCTTCTCTTATGACAGAGCATGGGCTCCAGGTGTGTGGGTTTCAGTAGTCGAAGTGCAGGGGCTAAGTTGCTCCGAAGCACGTGGGATCTTCCCGGACCAGGGAACGAACCCGTGTTGCCTGCATTGACAGGCAGATTCTTTACCACTGAACCACCAGGAAAGCCCTAGAGTGAGTTTTAACTAGAGAAAATTATCTTAACCTGAGGGGGGTCCCTGATGGGCTAATTATACTTCCATAGCTAAGATGTACCCTAAATACGTTAAAGACAAAAGGAAAGAGAAAACGTTAAGTGTGGTTGGATTTATAATTCAAGAAACCACAGAAAGCTTCCAGGCTATACTCATGAAACAGATGGCTTGGTCTCAAACATCAGAGCTCAGAAATTGGTCCTGCCACACCTTCTCTAAACTCCTAAAATGCCCGGGCTCCCATCCTTAGCTCCACATTACAGCCAAAAAGGCCTGCCCAGCATAGACGCATTGCTGACTGCTCCCTGTCACAGGCCAGGGCCAAGGATGGCTTAGCCGGGGCTCTGCTGGCACCCGCTTTCTGCAGAAAATGACACGAACCTGGATATCTCCGACCCAAGGCTGCACTGATGACAGCCCCGCTAATTCTCTACACCCTGGATGCACGCGGGTAGGAATGGCACTAGGATGGAAAGGCCGTGGAACACCTACAGTTGTCCCCAAGTGGGCACGGTGTAACTGTACAGACTGAACTGACCATGGCAGGACAGATCACAGGCTGCAGGGTGGCGGGTCGGGTTTACACCCCAACCCCGCTTACACCTGGGCTTCCTCGTCTGCCCTCGGGGTGCATGGACCCGCCCTGAGCGCTGCAGGGTCGACTTAACCCAGGGGAGGGGCAAGGCCGTGCTCAACAGTCATCAGCAGGGGCTGTTCCCCTAAAATAAGGCTTTGCTCCCTCAAGCGTGGGTTCCCAGGAGACAAGACGGCCACACATAAGCCAAAAGCTGGGGGTCCTTATCTGGGGGTGAAGCCAACCCCACAGAGGGGGGCGCACTTGGCCTGCTTCCTCTAGGCTCTCTCAGCGGACCGCAAACTGCAGGGTCCGCATTCACGATCAGGAGGTTCGAGTGACCAGGGTGGGCACAGGACAGTCTAGCGCACCGCTGTACAGAATCCACAAAAACGGGAAATACTGCGATAGGGGTAGGGGGTGGGGGAGACTGTTGCCAACGGGATCCCGAACACTGTAGGACAGAGCTGGGGTGTCACCAGAGGATACTGTGTCCCTGCCTACGTCTGGGTGAGATGGACCCCGCGGGACTTCAGAGGGGGTCAGACGGGTCTCAAAGGTGTTCCTCACAGGACGGTCAGTCGCTCTGAGTGCCCTCGGGTCTGGAGCGGGTGGCGGCACTGCACTGCCCGGGGTGGACTAGCAACTCGTGAGCCAGCGGCAGTGGGGGCGGGCGGGGCTCTGGAAACACTAGAGCTGGGATCGAGTCGGCAGGGAGGGGCCTTGGGTAAGGGGAGGGGCTGTGAGTAAGGGGAGGAGCCGAGGGGCGGGGCGGGGGCGGGGCCGCGGGTAAGGGGAAGGGCCACTGCGTCGTCCAGGCCCACCTCGCAGATATCCCGGAGGTGCTTGATGTACACGCGCTCGGTGTCCATGATCTCCTGGACCACGTTGGCCCGCATCTGCTGCTTGCTCTCGGGGTGCTTGTGGCGGGCCCTACCCGTGTCCTCCTCCTGCTCCTCGCCCGGGCCGCCGCTGGAGCCCTCCGACAGCTCCTCCTGGTTGACGCGCAGCTGCGGCCACACGGGAGGGACAGTCAGTGGGGGCGGCACTGGGCCTGGGTCCCCTAGTTTCCACTCCCCAGGACGGTCAGGAGGGCGGCAAGGATCCTGAGCCTGCAGGTGCCCAGCCGAGCATTGCAAATGCAGCAGCGATGCCAGCTGCCCAGCTGACCCCCGTGGACACTGCTCCACCACCCACCTGACCGCAGAGAGGTCTGGCTCAATGGGTGATAAGTAAAGAGTGGCCCTGGCACTGCGCCTGCCCTGCCCCGCTGCTAGAAACAGGAGGACACTCACCCGTACGAAGCTGGCCGGGAACCAGGCCTCCCTGTCTGCGCTGCGGCCCCACCACCAGTCCTTGTGCGAAGCCTCCAGGACCTGGATGACGTCCCCCGCCTTGAAGCCCAGCTCCTGTTCGTCCATGGTCACGTGGTCCCACAGGGCCTCCGCGCAGACCACGCTGCCATCGCCGATCAGCTGGAACGGAGAGGTGGGCGCTCAGCACCAAGCCCAGGGGGACCCTGAGCCCCCCCGCCCCCAAGCGCCCACATGGATGATGCTCAGGCACCTGATGTCACAGGACACGATGGGGGAAAGAACCAGCAGGGCACCCTCACATGCTCTTAAAGGAACCCCTGAGTCCACTCAATCCATAAGTCAGTCACCCAACAAGTGAGACTGTCTGGACTGTTCACCCTCCAGGGGGTTTCTGAGCCTCCAAACAGGCTCCAAATGAGCTCCCAAGGCTAGAGGGGCTGCTGCAAAGACTTTTGTAAAAAACAAGGGCTAATGACGCAGAGGAGCAGAAAGAAGCCCGGAGAAAGGCGTGTTTCACTTTGGCTCTGCCACCTGCTAGCAGGTCGCTCAGCCTCTTAGCCTCCGAGTGTTTGCCAAAATGTGGACAGTATCTAACGCTCGCTGCCCACAAGGGCTGTGAGAACTTTATAAAGGTAGGCAGGGCACTGCCTGGACCAAGAAGCCCTTTCCAGGTGTCATGACGGCCTGCTGACTGGGAGGGACAGCTTTGGTTGTCTGCAACACTTAATCACATAAATCGCCCTTGAAAATGCCTAACTGGAGTTCTCAGTGTTAGATTATGTTCACTAAGAAATAACCAGAGAAACAAGTAGGAGTGGATTCCAGGCCTAGACACACCAGCCGCTGCCACGTGGAACGGACCCCAGTACCTCGTTGATGGCTAGCTGCTCCCCGCCCGGCTGCAGGTATCGGGGGTTGGCCCGACACAGGTCCTCGTAGCTGAAGTCCTCCTCGCTGCCGTTGTCGTCCACTAGGGCAGACGGCTCCGCACCTCCATCGGAAGAAACTGAGAGAGAGAGAGCGATGGTGTGGTTTAAAGGACGCAGCTAATGGCAAAAATATAAGGACAAATTCTGTGAGCTCTGAGAAAGCGTCCTCGTGGGAAATTTGTCATTTTTTATCCTACCCAGAGTAAGAAACCATTAGAAAAACGTTTACTGAGCTATCATAATCCAAAGATAGCAGCTGATGCTAGGAGGAGCCAGGGCTTCATGTGGGAAGAGGACACTTCGGAGACCACTGTGGACAGTGATGTGCAGGGTTATTCCCTGAGTCAGGATACTGAGCAAACAACGTGTGATGTACTTGGAAATTTGTGTTCCAAAGTGGATGTAAAAGATGCAGTGTTTCTAAATAAGCTTGAGGAGGAAAACAAAGTTGAAATTATATATATATATATATATCTGTTCTGTTCTGTTCAGTCGCTCAGTCATGTCCGACTCTGCGAACCCATGAACCGCAGCATGCAGGCCTCCCTGTCCATCACCCACTCCCGGAGTCCACCCAAACCCCATGTCCATCGAGTCGGTGATGCCATCCAACCGTCTCATCCTCTGTCGTCTCCTTCTCCTCCTGCTCCCAATCTTTCAGTGTCCTGTCGCCATGTTTCCCGGCAAGGCACAGTGTGTGCTGTTGAGTCAGGAGATGCTGAGGGTATCCTACGTGGAGCCAAGCAGCTGGGCTTCCTGGTCGCCCACACAGCAAAGGCTGGGGCTCACGTGTCACAGTTAGGAGTTACCCAGCACCTTCTGAAGATGGGGGCAGTGTTCAGGACGGACCACCTGGCCACTCCGATCTCCTTTCAGGATGGTGGACTCCTCGCCAAGGCTCATCTGTCACCAAGCATCCCTGTGAGAAGGACAGGGCCTCCTGGGAGAGGTGCCTGGCCCCTGACTGTGGACACACGTGGCTGCACTTGGGCACCACAACCTCGAACAAAGAGGGACTGGAGAGCAAGGAGGAGCCTGGGCAGGGGAGTGATGGGTCCCTGGCAATGCAGATAAAGAACAGGTATTAAGAGTCTGAATTCAAGCCTGCCCACCTCCAGGCAGGGAGCCCAACCAGGCACCCTGTCTCCCTGAGCCCCAATCCTTCTGTTGTAAACAGTAGTCTCTTTCTTTTTGGAGAATTAGATGAGATAATGTGTGTCAAGTCCATAGCATCCTTGATTTGTGGTTGGAACTCGCTAACAGGAGTCACTGTGGTGAGGACATCCATGTTGGTGGGCTGGGACACACAAGAGCGACTTGGCCACAGCTTGAAGGGGGCCGGGGGTGTGGGCAGGAGACCAGTTGCGGGAGGTGGGTCAACTGAAGCAGGAGGGACCACCATTCTCCATCAGACAGACAGCTGGAGGGCGGGGACGGGGTGTGAAATTCAAGGACATGCAGGTCCAGGTAACAAGGGGGCAACAAAGAGGATCAAGTCTACCTGGTTCAGAAAATCCCAGGTTACTGGGAGAATTAATGGGAAAGGGAGTCAGGGGAGGAGCTGTGGTGGGGGCAGGAGGAGGAAGGTTGGCTGGTGATGGCAGAGGGAGAGCCCTGATGATTCTTTCAAGGACTCACCAGTTGGCATTTCCAGTCACTTCACCCTCAGGGACAGGTCTATTTCTAAACTGAAGAAACTGTTTTTAAAAATGAGATTTTTGAAAATTTCAACTTTTTAAAAGTAAGATATTTCCTGTTCCTTACTTCGTACCAAGTCTTTGTGACCTGAGTGCATCTTACATCCCCAGCCCATCCCTCTGGACAGGCCATGTTGCAGGTGCCCTGCAGACACCTGTCTATCCAGGGCCGGGCCCCAGCTCTCCTCTGCCCTTCCCTCCAACCCTGCCGCTTGCTCAGGGCACACCTCCCATGGTGCCTGCTGTGTGTGTGTGTGTGTGTGTGTGTGTGTGTGTGTGTGTGCGTGCGTGCGCACACATGCATGTGTATGTGTGTGTGTGTGCCATGTGGTCACCCCTGCCCTGTGCTGTGTCACAGTGCTCTGCGGTCTTTTCGGGGGTGTGTCCAGGAGTTGGGGAGAGGACCTGGAGGAGGCAGACACACCTGCTCTAGGCACACGAGTCTCTTATCAGACACCAGGGAGGCAGCAGCGAGCTTGCAGCCCGTCTCCTACGGAGCCCTCGGGGAGCTGCGCGACCACAGCGCAGTGTTCACAGCTGACTAGGGAGGGGGGACCACGCCACCCCAGGCCTGTCAGAGCCCCTCATCCTTCTCCCCTGTGATATTAACTGCCTTTGGGATCTTAAAGCCCCTTCTAAGTCAATGGTCCCCTGTGCTTCTGTACTATGGTTCACACGTATTTCAGGGAGTGGGGTTTCTCCAGTGTCTGGACGGGAGGAGTGGGGGCACATTCTGACGCTCTGTCTGCACAGAGCAGGGTTCCTGTCACCCCACACTCCTGCCCTTGGTTTCCTGTCACCCCACACACCTGCCTTTGTGAGGGTTTCCCTTCTGAGGTCAGAACTTCTTGAGGGAACAGGCGGAGTCTATTCTTGTACCCCAGCACCCAGTGTAACCCCTGGCATGCAGAAGGCACTCAAAAATGCAGACTGCTGGTGAGGGAACTCAAGCTCCCAGGAGTTTAACTCCTCCTCTGGGGGCACAAGGGTCGGTGGAGGCTGAGTACACACCCAGGTCTCTCTGCCTACCATCCCCACCACCCTCTCCAGCCACACCTTATGCGGATCCAAGGCCGACTTCTAGAAACACAGTTCCCTCGTGTACACGAGAACCCCAGAGCAGTGACCAAATGCCTCAGTGCAGATTCCTCTGCAGGGAAGCCCCATTCCCTGCCAGCTAAATGCCCCCCCTCCCCCGCAGAGCCCACCCCGCTGGGCAGACCTCCCCGAGCCTGCCCGCTCACCAGTGTCGCCTTCTCACAGAGGCCTGTGTGTCACCTGCAGACCCAGGTTCACACGGGGCCTTTCCTGGAGGTTATTCTGTGACCCTCTTTCTTGTCTGGTTTTCAGTGGTGACTTTTTATTTAGGGCTGTTTTGCATGATGTGACTCTATTACTGATTCTCAAAATGCACTTCTGCAAAATTAGGAGAGATGAACACATTCTAATAATGAAAGAGGAACCTTAATTAATTAGCGTCCTTCTTTCCTTCCTTTAGTGGTAAAACACCCATAGAACAGGCCGTCCCGGCCATTTATAAGTGTACACTTCAGCAGTGTTGACTACATGCACACGGTTGTGCAACCAACCCCAGGACTTTCTCATCTTGTGAAACTGACACTCTGGCCCCACTGAAGACTGACGCCCCCATTCCCTGGCAACAAGCCTTCCGCCTTGTTTCTGAGCTCTGAACACTTTACACCCTTCACTGAGTGATGGCCCACAGTGATTTTGTAGCAGGCATATTCCCTTCAGCACCATGTCCTCAAGGTTCACCCATATAGTTGCCTGTATCAGATTTCCTTCTACTGCACCTGATAGTGAGCTTTCTTCACCCATCCAAACGTCCAGGTGCGTTTGGGGTGCTTCTGCCTCTTGAACACAGCTGTGCAAACACCTCTTCCAGGCCCTGCTCTGGATTCTCCTGGATGTGTGTTCGGAGGTGGGATGACCGGGTCATGTGGAAATTCTACTTAGCTTTCTGAGGTCCCTGCACGCTGCTCCCCACGGTGGTTGCGCTGCTCTATGTCCCAACAGGAGCACTCAGACTTCCAAGTTCCAGGTCCTCACCAGCCGCATCATTTCTTTTATTAAATAAGTTATTTTTGTTCAGTCGCTCAGTCATGTCCAACCCTCTGTGACCCCATGGACTGCAGCATGCCAGGCTTCCCTGCCTTCACCATCTCCCTGAGTTTGCTCAAACTTGTGTCCATTGAGTCGATGATGCCATCTTAACCATCTCATCCTCTGTCATCCCCTTCTCCTCCTGTCTTCAATTTTTCCCAGCATCAAGGTCTTTTCAATGAGTCCGCTCTCTGCATCAGGTGACCAAAGCATTGGAGCTTCAGCTTCAGCATCAGTCCTTCCAATGAATGTTCAGGGTTGTTGAATAAGTAGCTGTGTGAAAGTTATGTTCGAAAAGGATCTTGTGAACGGTGAGCAAAGACTGTTGCAAACTGAATTGGAAACCTCGACCCCTGAGACAGAGGAATCTGAGATGGGACATGCTCGCTCCTCTGTCCACTGCGCCCTCACAGCTGCGGCCATGCCCAGAGAGGACGTCCTTTGGGTCTAAAAGACCTGCACACTCATGACAGCACACACGCCTGCAGGGACAAATCTGGGACAGTGGAGCAATCATGTGCAGACATTCTACATGCACGTAATGTGAACTACCCGTGCTTGCTTAATCGTCACGGTCAACGTCCCCTGGAAAGGCAGGCATCCCAGGACTCCAGGGGCTGCGCCAGGCGGACCACCTCCCCCCTCACCTGCCCTAAGATTCAGACCCGAATTCTTGCCTCCCCCAGGCTCTGCTTGCTTCGTGCATGCACCGATCTGAGGTAACCCCATCCACCCTTCCAGTCCTGGCCCAGCTCGGCTTCAGGAACATCCAGGAGAGACCACTGTGGCCAAAGCGGACGTGCCTTCGTAGTCAGGACTGCTGCAAACACGGTAGAGACCATGTGAGCTTATACACAAACGCCAACGAAGAGCAGTGTCCACACCCCCCGGGAGGGTGACAACTCCTGTCCTGACCTGGATTTCACGTCTGTGAGGAACAAAACCTGGCAACGGGCCCTCCAGGCGAGTTTTCAGGACAGGACATGTCAATACCACCAGCGATGGAGAAACTCAGACTGTAATATGCGCCGAGGACAGGCCCTCCCTCAGGACCCCTCACAGCACACAGGCCCCCAGCCCCTGTCCCAGGGGAGCTCTTCTCAGGACACAGGTCTCTCCCATCTGGCCTCATTTTGCAGATTTAAGCGCTTTTGCTTAGAGTGACAGAATTTCAAAAGCACAAGAGCTTGCTGGGGTCCCAGCCAGGCCCTGGCTCGAACTTCCCTGAGACTGCCTTTCTCTTGCCTGTCACACAG